CTAATTAGAAGATCCCCAGGAAGATTAATATTACAGTAATACAACACAGCAAAACTATTTTATAAGTATCAATCAAAGGAACATTCAACTAATAATCAAGGCAGGCCTCAATTGCACTAGTTGCCATTTGCATAATTAATCATCAGTATAGTATTTGCTCTATTGGTCCAATTCATTCCAATACTAAATAATGCTATGTTTTAGGTCAAATTAAGGATGGGTAAAACTAGAGGTACCTAAATATCAAAATTATTCATCAACTTACATGTCTAGTGCTAGAATAAAGAATGGCTCAAATGGTCCCATAAGTTTATGGGTTGGACTATTTTAGTCCTTCAAATTTGTTACTGAACATTACAAGTCCTTTAAGTTTGCAATTTCTTTTCCAAATCACTGGTCTTTGCGGAGACAAAATAATGTTTAACATCGGACCAAGGAAAATTCTTACTTTCTTCTCCTTGCTTTTCCACTTCTTACTAAATTCCCGGAATATATATTAATTGAAATTCCCAAAACATAAATTAGACCCAATGACGTGGATAGAAACATTTGAATAGCAGCAAAAAGCTCAAAACTTTGGCTTGATACTCACATGGCAGCCGTGACCCATGTGGGTAGAAGATTTAATCTTCGGCGAACTAGTCACCTTCACTTTGATAACTGCATCTATCTGAACCCTCCGCAAATTCTGATAGTTCCATGCAGGGGCGGAGGTTCATCTGACCGAGTACTTTCGAGACGATCACAAATTTATGTGTAAAAATTTATTAAAAATGCAACAAATAGTAGATTTGAACCCATAACTTTCGATGCTAAAACCTTAAAAGTTGAACCCAATAAAATCTAAATCCTGGATCCGCCTCTAATTCCATAGCCAATCAAATCGTATAAGGAGCGCCATTATAAGTAGTAGTAGACATTTAGGATCTTCACCAACTTGAGAGAAGAAAATCTCCATCTTCGTTATTCTATCATTGCTCTCCACTTGTAGCTGTAGTCAGACGAAATAGGGTAAGCTACGTACCCCAAAGTCTCCAGGATTTTCCGATACTTGCCTCGGTAATTTTTCTCTTCGGAGCTGCAAATCATGTGATACCAACGAATCATAAGGGAAACAAGATAAGGGATTTTCCTGATGCAAATTGCAAAGATGGAGCTTTGTTGAGCTCGTGATAAAGGAGTATTGAGCTTTTCCATCCTTTTTTTACCCTTTGTGTTTTATCGATGCTTCAATCAGCAAATTAATGCTGAATCCATTAGACTTAGTTTTATACGCACTTTTGTTTTTAAAAGACTTGTGACGGATGGTCTGAAGTTTCAAAATTTCACGACTAAAGTTTAAACACTTGGCAAAATTTCGGCTATGCTTTAAATAGGGTCCTAAAAGTGGATATTTGTGTCTTTTGACCACCACAGTGATTATGGATATACCATAACCTTGTTCATCACCAGTTTAATGTACAAAAAGAAGCAGAGATGTTATTTCTTTTGGAATACATATCAAGTTTCAATACAAATGAATAGGCTGTAACATCACCTCTTTTGGAAGTTCAACTTCCCAACGAAAAATGCAAATAGACTGGTAAAAACTAGGGGGTATGCAATCAAAACAACAGCTACAATACGTAATTGATTGTGGTGAAATCCGAAATAGTCCCCAAGAAAGGCTGCTACTGTTTTCTTTTCTTGAAACACAGTAATCTCCTTTTGTATATCTCCATATTGTGAAGTAAGCATCCCATTCAACGTCCAAGATGTAGGTGTTAGATAATAGAACCAGATCCACCATTTTGGGATTTGCTCCAATGCAGGGAAAAGAAACAAAATCTTAAATGTAAATACACAAGAGAAAGAGGTAATTGCAAATTTCTCATTGATTTCTAGATTAAAGCGGCTTAAATTCTGAACCACTTACAGCCTTTGGTATTGTCACGCCCCGAATCTGGGCCTGGACGTAACATGACACTCGGTGCCTGACTACATGTGACCGAGCAAACCAACTGGCTGGCTGAATCAACATGTGGTATCATAACATACTGAATGCGGAAGATAAACTAATACATGCTGATATACTGAAAGTCTGGATGATATAAATCAAAGTACGGAAATACTAAAACAAGTCTGAAACATATATGTAGCCAACATTGCTTAACATGAAAAGCCTGAGACTCTGTCTAACTGTTACTCTAGTCTATGAAGCCTCTAATTTATACTGAAAAAACTAACGGTCTGAAAATACTGAAGACTGTACTAATGATAATGCCCCGAAAGAACTGGGGATCACCAAATAGCTGGTACGAGAATCCTAGCGCTCTGAATCATCAACCTGTAAATCATTACCTGCATCGTGAGATGCAAGCCCCGGCAAAAGGACGTCAGTACATTTGAATTGCACTGGTATGTAAAGCAACTGAAAGAAAGAATTATAAAGGCTGAAACTGAGCTGATAACTGAAAATTGATAATTGATAATTGATACTGAAATGATAACTATTGAAACAGAAACTGAAACGATAACTAATAGCTGATAACTGATAACTAAAATGACAACTGAAATGATAACTGATAACTGAAATGATAATTGAACCGATAACTGATAATTGATAACTAAAATGATAACTGATAACTGATAACTGAACTGATAACTGATAATTGAACTGATAACTGGTAACTGAAATGATAACTAATAACTGAACTGAACAAAGGAAGTAAGGATATGAATATTCCCTCTTCTGAATGATGAACCACATGTTTATCTGAATAAATAAGCTGCGGCCTCAGGCCCAATATATATGTACACAAACTGCGGCCTCAGGCCCAAGTATACGTATACATAACTGCGACCTCAGGTCCAAAATGCATAAAGCATAAACTGCGGCCTCAGGCCCAAAGATGCATAAAGCATAAACTGCGGCCTCAGGCCCAAAGATGCATAAAGCATAAACTGTGGCCTCAGGCCCAATTACAGGTGTTCAACATTCAAGAATTGAGAATCAAACTGCAATACATGATAATGAAATACTGAATCACACTGAGTTACATGATACTGGAATACTGGATCACACTGAGTTACATAATACTGGAATACTAGATAACACTGAGTTACATAATACTGGAATATTGAATGGGACTAGACTGAGATATATATTCTTTAACTGATTATGAACACTGAAACTTCAACTGTTTATGGCATACTGAGTAATCTATACTAAGACTCGGGGGCATCAAACCCAAGTCTATATTGAATATGCACTGAGCTCACCACGTTCAGAATGAAAGTGGTGAACGAGTTATGAAGCTAGAGAATAGAAGTTCTGCAATTATTCAAGGAACTAGGCTTAACTATATTTCTGAGGCAATTAGTAATGTCATAAAAGAAACGTAGTGTAGGGAGAATCATTAACATTCCTAAACATAAAGAGTTAGCCTCACATACCTTAACTTCCTGCTCTTGAGCATAATACAACATTCGCCAACCCTTTCACCTTTAATCTATATCAATACAAGTCAAAGGGATTCCAAATTAGCAACAATAGTCATGTTTTGGTCGCTTAGGCATTTTATCAAACACTCGGTGGCATAAAGCTTCATAACCCTTATTAATGGTGTCTCTACACCCAATAACTCATTCTCTTGCTCCTAGATAAATTCTAAAGTCTCAAATGGTTATAATCAACATTATTCTTTATCACCCATAAGGTAATCAACACCCATAACCAATCAACAACCCAAACCTATCACCGTTCATGTTTTTCTATCAAACCCATCAACTCATATCTCATGAACTAGAGTCTATAATCATTAATTCAATGATAGAATCAATTAGAGAGTGAAGATATTACCTTTTTAACGTTCAATCTTCTTGAATTCGAGTTCTAGGGTTTCTTCTCTCAACAATGGTGTCCCAATCGAATATCTAATGATATGGAGGGTTTACCCATATTAATAAGATGTTGGAAAATTGAAGTTAACTTAGAATCACCATTAGAACTTACCTTGGGTGGTGGAAGGACTCTTAAGGAGTTAGGTTTTTGAGAGTTTTCCTTTCTAGAGCAAGTTTTTATGTTTTGGGGCTGTGGGGGACGAAATAAGGCTAAAAAAACGACTTCCCAAGTCGTCCACCGCGTCCCAGTAGGCGCGACCGCGGTCCCGACCGCGGTAAATCACTGGGACACTGCCTCACCACCGCGGTCGCGGTAAAAACGCGGCAGGAACGCGATGGTTACACATCATTCTGTAAAACGGGCATAACGTTTTACACAGAGCTCCGTTTGGGCTCCACAATATATCGTTGGAAAGCTATTTCAAAGTCCTACAACTTTCATTCTTTGAGTTTTCCTAAATTCCTTACACATTTTCACTAAATCCTGCTGGAAGATAGACCTTCTGCAAACTTAGTCGATTTTGTCAAATCTTATGCAACTCACTTTCCATCTTGATTTTGAAACAACTATTTTCACCCATAATCATCCCGATAGGACTTCATATGTCCAAAATATAACCTTACTAATCCTTTAACTCATTCATACCTAAGCCGAATGTACGGGATGTTATAGGTATCAAGAATCCAGCAAAGAGGTTGAACAATACGTAAAAGGCTGACTGAAGAATTGCAGCTATTGGAAAGCTTGGGGTCATTGAAACAAGCATCATTCCCATGTAAGTGAAGTACAACAGTGTGCAAAACATCGAATAGAAGTACCAGAAGACCTTGTAGGCTGACCAATAATATCCAATCATCGGATATGTGATGACACTAAATACAAGAGTTTGGGCTAAAAGATATGGTATTTCAATTGCCACCTACAAAATCAGGTAGGTGGAATCAACTCAAATATGAAGCAGTGAAGAGTGAACTATTAAAAAAAAATTGGACTTAATTCAACACCAAAAGTCAACTCATGAATTGAAGATTATCCAAGATCGTGTAACGCCGGTACGACACAACGGGCACACCCAGACATATACAACTAAAGTGTGGATAATGGGAGCCCAATACTGACAATACAACAACTTGGATGGGCAACTCTGATACCATATTCAACAAGTGGACCTTGGACTTCACTCAACTCCAAAAGCCTTATGAGGAGAGAATTGTTCATGATCAGACAATAATTTGTTCTATGAATCAATGTGGGATCCCCTAACATAATAAACTGTTAAAGCTTGTAAGGAACATGAACTTGGAAATACAGAAAAGATACTACAATATTAACAGGGAAAAATGAAAATTGAAGAGAAGTGTACAGCGTGGTGTTATGAATCCCTGTAGTCTCAACTCTCAACAAGTCAACATGTCATGCCAATTTGATAGTCTTATATATACCTGTGCTAATGCATATGCCCATGGAGCATACATCCCAGCAAATCTTTCCCTGTACAAGACTGATCGCTCTGTAGTCACATATGGTAAAACAGAAGATGCATTGTTAATGCCACAAACGATTACTGCAGTGTACATAGCACCAAATACACTGAAGATGCTCTGCTGGTTATCTCTGCCAAACAATGGGAAAAGGAACAAGATGACAGTTAGTTTAAGAAAATCATCAAGTTCTTGAAGTATGGGTAACATAAACATAATGTTACACTGTTTAGTTGACAGAACCAATTCAACTAAATTGGGTGAGTGTTAGGGATATAGTAGATATGCCCTAGGTACATCTTCGATTCGATCTTTGACATGTAAATAAATTTTAAACACGAAAAGATCCTTCCGCTGCGTGTTACGAACACCTATATGCAATCCTTATAAGTGCAAAAAGGAAACTTCAGTTCTACATCAATTTTGAACTATAAACATGGAGCTCCAGAGTTTTATTATTGCTGCATGGCATGGGTAACATCAACCAGCAAGATAAAAGAAGGCCGAAATGTTCGATGTTAACAAACCGAAAAGGAAAAGATGAATCTGAGAAAAATTTATAGGATCACACAACCTAATTCCTTTTGAAACTGTGTCACGACAATCACTTGTGCGTCAAAGTTTGGGATAAACATGTTACTCAAAAGGGCACAGAAATTTCCATGAGAATGTAAATAGTTTTATATCACACAGTATAAAGCATATGTCAATAAGTTATTGAAGCTTTTGTTTAACATTATTGCCCACTTACAGTTTCTTCCCTTGATCCCAGAACAGCAATCCATAAAGAAAGGAAGCAATAAGCATGTTCAGAGAAGGCATCAAATTGTATGAAGGACTCCTCCAATACGACCAGTACTGCTTCCAGAAGCAGGTCTTGAATTGGCCCCAGCCATTCTGTGAAAACCGGATGGGGAAATGCAAATCTTTTGAACCAGATGGTGGGAAACTCAGCCTCTTTACAAGCTCTTTGTTATTTCTACGACCAATGTAAGTCAAAAAGTAATCACGCACTACTTATGTGCAAAATGTGCTTATAATTGATACAATGTGCAAGATGCATTTTAGAATTAATTCAGAACTAAATGAGGTGAATAGCTGTGACTAACTTGTGTAGATCAGAATTCTTATAGACTTCAGCAAAGTCTATGCTAATCTTGTCTTCGCTAGATGTCAACGTAACCTCTAACATCCAGGTCGCTGGATTGTACTTGTTTTTTATTTTTGGCACACCAGAGATACCCTTTAAAAGAAGTGTCAAGTGATAAAACACAAAAGAACAGTTTCAGCTTTTATGAAAAGAAGCTTCTATTAGTGGCTTATTGCAATTAAATAACAAGGGAAATTAGTGCACCTCAAAATATTCGATCATTTTACTAGATTTTTGACCGAGTGGTCCCCAGTAGATCATGCGCCCACCAGTTTTCAGTAGAATCAGCTGCAAAAGAGTACATTACAAACAAATAACCAGTTGAGGATATCCATGAAGGACAAACAATTAAGAAATTAGATGAGTCTGCTTGAAAATTAATGGAGATGGAAAATTTCTGCGGCATTGTGTAACACTCCTCAAATTTATAAAAGTTTCAAGACACGTTAAATATAGAATTTAATTTTTTATAATCTTAAATTATACTTCTATTACGGATTTAAATCCTTGTGATTGATTTTGAATTACTTTTCTATTTATAAATAATTGGACATACAATTTGGTGGGGAAATATTAATAATTTTTAATATTACTAATTATTAAAAGTAGGAATAATTAAATACTAGATTGTCAAAACAAAACAAAACAAAAGAAAAAAAAAAAAGAAAGAAAGCAAAAGAAGGGTCACGTGCAACAAAGACAATAAAGGGTTCTTGGCAATTAACAGGCAAAACTGGTAAGCCTTAGGAAAATTTAAAACAAAGCGACATTCTGTCGCCCAACAAAAACAGAAGCGGCGTTAGCAAATACTTGCGCAGGCAACGAAAATTCTAGGATTCTTTCTAATTCTTGAGCTCAGGTATATAAATTCCCTATTGTCAATTATCCTATAGTAGTAGTAGGTAAGAATTGAATAATTAATTCACTTCTTTCTCTATATCAACAATAAATTTCATATTTAGGTATAGTACTTTAGAATTGATTGAAATGCACTGGTTGTTATAGAATCGATTGTTTGACTGGTGTCGATTGGACTAGGGTCTACATATTGGCTAAAGGAGTTTTGAGGTGAGTTGATATAACCCTTTAATAAAGTGGTTTAACTCAAAGCACGCACACAAGGTATTTGATGAATTGCATAAAAGAGTTAATATATACTTAATTGGAGTAGTAAGTACCCATTAGCTTAGAATTATTTTCTAGCAAAAGTTTAGATGATTATTTGGATATATGTGCATAGATTTCAGATTTTTATGTTATTCATATATGCCATTTTCATGTTGAAAATTTATGAAGGATCAAGAACCTTTATAAATACTTTTGAATGTTTATTTCATTCTTATGTCATGCCTTACATTTAAGGATACCAGTATGAGTATGTATAAAAGATTTAGACTTGAAAAGTCACAAGAAGAAGTTTTAGAAAGAAAAGATTTTGGGAGTATCCTTTATTCTGAGAAGGGGTCATCGTCCAGGCTGAGGGTCCTGACCAAGGCGTTGACTTCCTGAAACTACTTGTGCCAAAGTAGGGAGCACACGAGCCGAGAGTCTCGTTGCTGAGAAATTACTTAGCCATGCTAAGGTATGATACATGAGCGCTGAGAACCATGAAGCGAGTGGCACCTCGTGGATTGGGCCTATTCGATCAGGTTGGGATCGAACCCGTGCCGATCACACGGGGACTGAGACAGAATTAAGTCAGAATAGTTGGAACTCCCAAAGTATAAAGTGAAGTATTTTTTTTTATATAGGAAAGAAAAAAAAGAATTTCTTTTAGAATATTCATAAACTGCTATTATGCGATTATTTTGAATTATTCTTATAAGCTTTATGCTTTACATGCATTTAGAACCTTTGCTCATAATATATATGTTATTAAAGTTTTGCCCCCTGTTGTTGAGACTCACTGATTACAATGGATGGTACTGACGTTCTCTTTTGGGAACCTACGTTGGTCTGCGATACAACGTAGGAACCGAATTTGCAGGCGAGCAGGCTACGAGTTAGGACTTCCTTCTCTTCCAGTGCTATTGGTGAGCTCCGCTTTTGTTCGTGGAGTATTCCTTATAGTCATTTTTATTTAGCTATTTCTTTGTTTACTTAGAGAACTGGCCAGGAAATCTCATGTCCTGAGCAGTGCGTCAGTTTATCAGTAGAGGCTTCGTAGACATAGTCATTGGGTTGAGATTCAGATGTTATTTTATAATAACTTAGCAGTAATTCAGTAGTTACTACGAATAAAGTTTTGGAGTTGATTTATTTAAATATTTGAATTAATCAAAAGTATTTTGTTAGAGTATTGCTTTGTTGCATATAAAGTTTGGAGTTATAATAGGTTTGATAAGCAGAGATGGTTCGCTCGGTCATGTTTAGTGATCGAGTGCCGGTCTCGGCTTGTTCAGAAAATGGGTCGTGACAAACTTGGTATCAGAGCCTCAGGTTTATGGAGTCCTAGGGGTCTATGAAGCCGTGTTAGTAGAGTCTTGTTTATGGGTATGAAGCGCGCCATACTTATAAACAGGAGGCTACAAGCATTTAGGAAAAGTCTTATTTTTCTCATACTTTAGATCGTGCAGTAGATCCTACCTCTAAGAAATTATCTAATGTATTCGTTTCTCCAAAACTTGCAGAAATGGCTCGTACTCGCAACTCTGACACCGACACTCAGGATGCTGCTCAAGAAACTATTGCTAATATTGTGACTCAAGGCAGAACTAAAAAGGCTTCAACTCAGAAAAGGAAGGGCAAATCTACAAATGGTGTTCAAGTACCCCGGGTTGAACATGAAGAAGGGGTGGAGCATGATGATCCAGTACCTCAGGATCCAGTACCGCCCCCAACAGCAGCTCCGGCTCAGGCAACTATATCTCCCGAGGTGGGTCAGATGTTTAATGCAGTCAACAGTGTTATGGAGATGTTTAAAGCCTTTATGGCCAACCAGAACGAGAGAAGAGATGAGATTCCACCTCAATCAAATAGACAGAACAATTCTGAGTCCTCAAGAGTGAATGAATTTTTGAAGTTGAGTCCTCCAGTGTTCCATGGTTCTATAGTTGATGAAGATCCGATGTTGTGGCTGGAGGGTGTCAAGAAAGCCCTCCGAGTGATGAAAGCATTTGATGATGAAGCTGTGGAGCTGGCTGCTTACCAGCTTAGAGATGTGGCCGGCGCTTGGTTTGAGATGTGGGAAAATGAAAGAGATGAAGAGGATGGTCCGCCTACTTGGGAAGAATTTGAAGAGACCTTCATGGCTAACTTTATCCCAGAAGAGGATAGGGAAGCTAAGGCTACAGAGTTCGAACAGCTCAAGCAAGGGAATAAAAGTGTGCAAGAGTACTACATGGAATTCATAAGGTTGGCTAAGCATGCTCCTCACATGGTTAAGATAGAAAGAGCAAAGATTCGCAGGTTTGTTGGCGGTTTAGCTTACCACATTAAGGATACGACATCAGCTGCAGCAGTAGGGATGACAGTCTTCTCCTCTGTTGTGGGGTTTGCCAAGCACTTAGAAAAAGACAGACAACAAAGGAGAGAAGAAAAAGAGCATAACAAGAAAGCTCGGACAACGGGCAAGTTTAATGGTACATCCAGTGGAGGTGGAAGGGATTCCTCTAATAAGGAGTCATTAGCACCAGCTCAGTCCGATCATCAGTCAGGTGGTGGGTCTTCCTTCAGACGTACTCAGAGTTATGGAAATCAGTCTCGCCAAAATCAGAATTTTAGGACATCATCCTCACATAGCCAGAGTCATGCTGAGCAACATTCACACCAACAAGGTCTTTGTGGAACATGTAAGCGGCAACATTCAGGTCAGTGCAAGCTCGGGTTTCATGGTTGCTACCACTGTGGAGACATTGGTCATATAAAGGCCAACTGCCCAAAGTTGCTACGTAATTTCAGTGGTGGATCAACTCGTCCTTCTAGTTCCTCAGCTACTGCAGTTGCACCACCTCAGACTCGTGGTTCTCATAATCAGACCGGGCATGGAGCAGGAAGAGGTACAGACCGAGTTACTCAGGGAGGGGGACAACCCCGTCTATTTGCTACACTTGATCGTCAGAGTGCAGAGGCATCTGCAGAAGTTATTACAGGTATACTTTTAGTTTGCTCACATAATGCTTATGCCATAATGGATCCAGGTTCAACGTTTTCATATGTGACTCCATACTTTGCAATTAACCTCGGACTAGAACCTGAACAACTTAGTGAGCCATTCCTAGTATCTACTCCAGTTGGCGAGTCAGTAAAAGTCACCAGAGTCTATAGAGGTTGTATAGTTTCAGTCCAAGGTCGCAACACCAAAGCCGATCTCATAGAGTTAGAAATGGTGGATTTCGATGTGATCATGGGTATGGATTGGTTATCTTCCTGCTATGCCATGTTAGATTGTCATGCCAAGATAATCCGGTTCCAATTTCCAAATGAAGAAGTCTTAGAGTGGAAGGGTAGTTCAGCATCGCTTGTAGGTAAGTTTATTTCTTACCTTAAGCCACAACGGATGATCGGTAAGGGGTGTCTCGCCTATTTGGCTCACATTATTAATCCAGAATCAGAACCACCAGCTCTTCAGTTAGTGCCAGTTGTTAGAGAATTTCCAGAAGTTTTCCCAGATGACCTTCCCGGGACTTCCTCCCGAAAGAATCATAGACTTCGGCATTGATCTCATGCCAGGCACTCAGCCCATGTCTATACCTCCTTATAGGATAGCTCCAGCAGAACTTAATGAGTTGAGAGAACAGTTGAAAGACCTTCTTGACAAGGGCTTCATCAGGCCGAGTGTTTCACCGTGGGGTGCCCCGGTCCTGTTTGTCAAGAAGAAAGATGGGTCTCTCGGAATGTGTGTCGACTATCGGCAGTTGAATAAAGTTACCATTAAGAACAAGTACCCACTGCCAAGAATTGAGGATTTATTTGATCAACTTCAGGGTGCAAAGTACTTTTCAAAAATAGACTTGAGGTCGGGATACCATCAGTTGAGAATCAGAAAAGAGGATATATCTAAAACAGCCTTTAGAACTCGCTACGGGCACTATGAATTTCTAGTGATGTCCTTCGGGTTGACAAATGCTCCAGCTGCATTCATGGACCTCATGAACAGAGTTTTCAAACCATTCCTGGACACCTTTATTATTGTGTTTATAGACGATATTTTGGTGTACTCTAAGAGCAAGGAAGATCATGCAGAACACCTCAGAATTGCCTTGCAGACCTTGAAGGAGAATGAGCTTTATGCCAAGTTTTCAAAATGTGAGTTCTGGTTGCAGTCAGTGGCATTCTTAGGCCACGTGGTATCTAGTGAAGGAATAAAAGTAGACCCTCAGAAGACAGAAGCAGTCAAGAACTGGCCTAGGCCGACGACGCCAACCGAAATCAGGAGTTTCTTGGGGTTAGCTGGCTACTATAAAA